TAAATAATTTTTGGCTGTAAAGTTGATCATTTACCTTCTTTATACTTGGTCTCCCCCTTGGATTTGAGGCAAACTCAGTTTGGAACTCAGAGGTGGAAAGGTTCCAGATGCGTCTGGCAGGCTGGAAGAGACGGTATTTATCAAAAAGGGGTGAGGTCTACTTTGATTAAGACCACTTCATCCAGTCTTCCTTTGGGTTTGATGTGGATCATTTGGAGAAAGGATAATCAGAGTACATTTGATGGATTGGAATATCCCATCTTTAATTTGAAAAACCATTTTTTGTAACGTTCTTGGGTGATGTTAATTTGGTTTTTAACCAATTTTTGAATTTTTTAATCTTTTGAGTAGATTGATGTATAGGTGATATAGGCTGTTATGTTCCTTTTTGCTTGCCTCATTAATATATACACATTACTTATAAAAAAAATTTATATAATTCATCTAACAAACTTGTCCTGGACTATTAGTTGAGAAGAAAAGTTACAGTGTAGAGTATAAATGAACCACTAAAATCTTCTCACAAGCTAGTCCAATGGCAGCCATAAAAAGTGCATCAAAACTACCATTCAGAGGGCTGCATAGTTTATGTTTTTCTTCTAGATAAGAAATAATAAATTTGAAACCAACAAAAGATACAAGAATCTAAGAGCAAAAAAATATAAAAGAAATCGATGTCATGATATCTTGAATCACAAGAAGTAGATACCTGCTTATCCTAGTATGAATGGGAAGCTAGATTTTCCTTGTCTCCAGACCTTTAAGCTTAAGGTGCTGAGGGATAGCAAAGCAGCTCCAAAGAGTGCATCAGTGCGTAAAGTAGTAGGATTTCTTGTAAATATAAAACCAATAAGCCCCCCACTTAAAAAAAGCCCACCTATGGAAAGACACGATCAATAAGTGACAACATAAAACCAATTAGTTAGCACAAGAAACCGACACCTATGAACAAACAAGCCAAAAAGTTTGTCCCCATGTTGGATACACTGAACATAAAATTAACATGGATCATCATTACACTAACTTATGATGCAGTTTAACAATTCAAGGCCCCGTTAATAGTCTATATGAACACAGAAAACTGTTTAGGATAAAGAACCAGCAATGAAGCTAAGAACACAAAACCATAAACTTACACCTTCCCTATCTTTAGCTAGCTGTCTACTACCCCTGCAGCAAAGCCAGTCCTAATCTAAATTAGAAGCAGACAGAAAGTCAAATTACCAGCATAAAGTTTATAAATCAATTGAATCCTCAAAATTGCAAAATATGCAATTGTGTATGATAAGATTCCAAAGTTTCCAAAATTACCCCACACACACGCACAAAAAAAAAAAAGAAAAAGAAAAAAAAGGGGTTGTATTAACAGCCTCTAGGTGATACTCCTCATATGTTCCCATTGTAAGGCTCAAACATAACCTATCTTCAGCTCCTCCATTTCTTTCTATTTCTTTAACCTTTACAACCTACATAATTTCTATATGTTGATAGAGGAAAAAAAAAAGCTAACTGCTCAAGTGGACGGCACAATTGGAAACGGCACCTCTCCATGCAAGCAAGCACGTTCCCACCTCATGCTTGCCACCTTGGCTTACCACCTTGTGCTTGCCACGTCTTCATGCCTACCACTTGGCACTTATCATTGCAAAAATCTGGCAGAAGCCTATAGTGCAATCACACAACTTCATCGAGACATCAAGCTGACACTAGTTTGCATGTTCTATGACACCTCATGCCTTGCTGGAAGGACTGTGTCATGCAAAATACATACAAGGCAAAAGCCTCACTGCCACGAGAAATGGCTAAGGTAAGAGACTTGACAAACCCTATGTTAAAGCTACCATTATCACATATCCTTTTGAGCATAGAAACTATGATTAAATATATGATCTCCTTAAGCACCTTAAGAATTCTCTAGAGTTTGAAAGCACTTTAAGAATTGGTCAAGTATGGAAACACCACAAAAAATGTTGTCCATAACTCCACAGACTCATCAAGCAGAGGGAATGGGAGAATCACGGATGAGGAATGGGAATCATATTAACAATGAGATTCCCGTGTCAGTGTCATTCAATTGTTTGAATTAGTCAAACATATCATACGAGAAATGACAAAAATTTACAATGTTGTGGGCCCAGGTCTCGTTTTTACTCTCAAATGTCCAAGGTCACATCATCACTTGACTCATGATAGTATGTGCTATGCTATTTATGCATACATACAACAAAGATAGCGGTTCACTTTGGTGCACGATCTCAAAACATCGTAAGATATATAACATTCTACAAATGCTAAGCTAGCAAGCATTCCCACCATACAACTTTCACAATAACAAGAAGAACATCATAAAACTGAAGTATTATATAAACCAAAAATGATGTGAGTATGGTGAAACTAGGAAAGCGTAAAGAATAGAAGGTGCCTTCGATTGTGACGCTAAGTCACTTCTCTATGATGTCTATGTAAGTAATAATAAAGGTTGCAAGTTGCAACTGATTTTTGAATATATGCATTTTACATACATTATGAATTTAATGAGTAAATTGAGAGAATGAAAACATGTTCAACAAATCCTTATCCAATTTCATAAATGAAGGTGTATGAGTTACATTATAACTCATCTAACAAGTAGTTTTCACATTTTCACATCAGCCAGGACACACTAAAAGGCTTTTCTGGGTGAGGAAAAACCAGAAGTTTTAAACCAACATTAAAGCACACTCACCAAATGGAATGCCAAGACAAAAATCATGGATCTTTGCTGCCCTTATCTGTTGGGTGACAGCATGTCCTTGTACTGGCTCATTCATCCCTTTTCCATTGTCATTTTCTGATGTAGTTGCATAGGACCTTGCTGACCCCTCAATATGTGATCTTGAAGCATCTGCAGTATAACTCAGATTGGTCTTAGTCTGTGAACCCGATATCCCTGTGCCACTTCCATCACTGTTCATGACAACCAGTACCTACAAAATAAAGATTTCCAACAGTTGGTACTACTTCCAAAATCTATAAATTAGAACAATAATATAAAGCACTCATTAGTAAAACTTCCACCAAATTTTAGCAAATGAAAATATTCATATTGAGAAATAAATTAAATTTATTTTCGTTTGGGCAAATTAAATTGTTAGTCCCTCTACTTTGGCCCTTGTGTCATTTTGGTCATTGTATTTCAATTTGATCAATTTTGACCCGAAATTTTTATACTTTGTCTCAAATTAGTCCAATTGATTCCAATTTTTAGGATTTTTTTTTTTAATGGCAAATGCACACATAAATAGCAGGTGTCATGCTTTTAGGAGCAAAATTGCAAACTTGATCAATTCAGTGACTTAACCTCAGCCAATTTAGTGAAAATTTTCTGTGAAAAATCCTAACCGCATTATCAATTGGACCAAATTGATGTAAAATCTAAAATTAATGGTAAAAATTGAGCAAATTGAAACTATATTTTAGGACTACCTGTGTAATTTATCCTATTCTTTTCTTGCAGACATAATAATCCTCAGAATAAAAAACTGGAAATTTGAATTTATTTTGAACATCATAATACAAATACAAGTATAAAACCCCAAATTGGAGGCGAAAAATGGCTGAAGAGTTGACTAGAGGTTTTACCTCATCAAATCACATATAACCCAGCAAAAAAAAATTCAAAATTTTTAAATTTTCTAGCATTTTCTTGGGAACCAAACGGAATCTGAGAAAGTTTGGGGGGTTTTGAGATCAGTATTCTCACCTTGGAACGAAAAGTGGGGCATGGCCGAGTGTGTAGATGTAGTCTGCGGCTGATTGAAGAGAAGGAAGAAAGCTGAGAGATTGCCGAGGACATGATCGGTGATTGCTTGTTGCTGATTCCATGTTAAAATTCACCTACTACACACCTACCACTACCACCTACTACACACTCACCTACTTCACCTACTCTCCACCTACTCCTCACCTACTCCATACCTACTACACACTCACCTACACACTCACCTATTCTCTTCCCACATCCTCTCTTCTATATATAGGAATCATTGTAATATATCAATAACAATAAATCAATAATACAATTCTCTATTTCTTTTTTTATACATTGAATTTTAACATGGTATCAGAGCTATAGGTTAGCTCTTGGTGATTTTCACCTTCCGGCGGGCGGCAACCTTGCCTTCACCGCCCGCCGGACCCCAACCGTGCCAATTGAAACCTCCAACACATACCTCACTCTGTAAAATCACCACCTCCATCGGCGTCGTCCAAGTCGGCAACGGCAGCTTCGGCAGCTACCCTTCTTCCATCATCGTCGCCTAGCAACGGTGGCAGGTCCAAGTCCTCCGGATTGTTTTCACTCTCCTCAACGGTGCCGACTTGGCAAGACGAACCCCTGCCTCAGAAAAGCTCGTGGTCGCCGGCAGGCTGCACTTCCGACCACCGCCGTTGACCACCGCACAACAACCCACCTCTGCCAATAGCAAGGAATGGTGGGACTATCTATCGGTGAACAACATTTCATACAGGGTGGCATTGCTCAAGACCTTCGTTCTGATGGTCGGAAACGACTAACTTACCGTCCTATTTCTATTGAAACTGGAGTTATCCCTCAGGCCAATGGTTCAGCAAGAGTGAAGTTGGGTGCAACAGATGTTATTGCTAGTGTGAAGGCTGAACTTGGAAAACCGAGCCCATTTCAACCTGATAAAGGCAAGGTTTCCATATATGTTGATTGCAGTCCCACAGCAGCACCAGTTTTTTAGGGCAGGGGAGGTGATGAGTTGTCAGCAGAACTCTCAACAGCTCTTCAGCAATGTCTCTTAGGTGGTAAAAGTGGAACAGGAGCTGGAATTGATCTCTCATTTCTCTCTCTCATCTTTCCACTTTTAAACCCACAAACCTTTCTTTAATCAACCGCCCACACCCTGTTTATCTTTTATATATATATCAACAATGGGGCGGTGGAACGAATAATCATCCCTCTCTCCAACTTTCTTTATTATATATATGTATATATCTATATCTCTTTTTTATTATACTTATATATATATATATATTTGGCAGTGGTCCACTGAGTCGGTAACCGTGCCAGACATTGTGGGCTGAAATTTCATTCCCATGATACAAGTGGGGGCTTCCTTTTGTCAAGCTTCACGTGGGTTTGGAGTTTTCTTTTTAGTTATTTTCAATCTTTTTTGTATAATTGTTCATATATTTTTTCCAGTTCTATCTATTATTTTTATGGTAGAAGGACCTTGGAATATAAAAACAAAAAAAAAAACAAATGATAATTTTGATTTTATTTTAAAAAATAAATAAAATAAAAATAAAAATAAAAATTAAATAAAAAATAAAAAATAAAAAAAAAAACATATACCGAACACATTTATTCTTCTTATTTCTTTCTTTATTTTTCTTTCACATTATTTTTAATCTTTTTCAAATTCCATTCATACCATATAGCTTTGCACACCAAACCATCTTTTATTCATCTCAGGGATCAACCCCGATCACAATTTTCCACACACATAAAAAAAAAAAAAAAAAAAAACCACCCAAAACACAACACCCAAAGCTTTGTTTTCTTTTCTGCAGCCGGCCAACCACCGACCTCACTTCTTCGCCTATTCCGCCGGTCTCTTCTTCTTGCCTCCGTCCTGGACGGCCCTTGCCGGTGTTGTCTCCGTGCTTCCTACTCCACCGAGCACGTTCACTCCCCCCTGCTCCTCCACTGCAGCATATGGCGGCCCTCCAAATCGGAACATCACGGTGGCCTTCCGCTTCAGCTCCTTGTTTTCTGCCCTTAGCACGCTTATCTCTGCTCGCGCATCCTTATACATGCGTTGGAGCAGAGCCAGCTGGGAGTTTAAATGCTGCACCTCATTTGTCCTACTCTGCAGCCGGTTCGAAAAATTTGTGACCGCCGTCATGCTTTCCACACATGCCTTCATACCTCACCATCTGTAATTTACACCATCTGTAATTTATAGACCGCATCGGAAAGTTCAACGGAGCAAAACCAGAGGTGTTTGGTTGAGGTTCACTGGCCACCGCACTGGTTATCTCTCTTGTTGACTCATTGAGGTCAAGAAAGAGAGTGAGTAGACCACGGGACGAAGAGGACATATTCTGGGTAGCTGAACGGGAAGAAGAAGCCATTGTTCAGATGTTTCAGAATGGGTTTGAGTTTTTCTGAAAACTCATTTGTAGAGAAATTTTCCCAAAAATTTTTGGGAAATTCAAACCAAACGAACCCAGAGTGTTTCAAGATTTACAGCTCTTAGCGACAAGCTCTCAGAGAACGAAGAGGTTTCAACTGGTTTGTTATGCTTCCAAGCCTCAGCCTCCGCTTCGGTTAATAAAGACCCTGACAAAGAGGCAGACACGCGCATCATGCGCCGCTCGGTGCTCGCCGACAACTTGGGCGCGCCTTTTGATGGCACGCCTTTTGATAGATTGGGCACACCTTTTGAGGGTGCGACTTTTTAAGGGTCCGACACGACTCTGTAAACTGTCCCGACATTGATTCCGGTTAGTTTCTACAAGGGTCCGACAAGACTCTGTAAACTGTCCCGACATTGATTCCGGTTAGCTCCTTCATGGGTCCGACAAGACTTTGTAAACTGTCCCGACATTGATTTCGGTTAGTTTCTACAAGGGTCCAGCAAGACTTCGTAAACTGTCACAACAACAGTCACAACATTGTCTGCTACAACGGTCCGACATGACCCCATAAACTGTTTTCTACATCGGTCTGACACCGCCCTCCAGTGTCCTTTACACCGTTATGACACCACCATACAGTGTCCTCTACATGGTTATGACACCCTCATACAGTGTCCTCTACAACGTTATGACACCACCATCCAGTGTCTTCACCAATGGTCTGACACGACCATACAGTGTCTCTTATCTACTTTTATTTTTATGTATTTTCTTGTTTTGTTACTCTCTCCAAACTGTAAAATTTTGTTTTGTTTTGTTTTTATCGCACTTTTCTTTATCGCAATTTACTTGCTACAATTTAATTTTACTTAAAGGGTAGTCTGAAACTCCCTACATGTACATTTATTGTTAGAATTTACCAATTTACTCCTCCACCTACCATCTCCACTAGCACCCACTTCACCTACCTCCTCCACTACACTACACCTACTACCACCTTCTCTTCTATATATAGGAGTTGTAATACATAACACAACATCAATCAATCTTGTAATACATCAATCAATAATATACATCAATATATTTATTTACATTTATTTTATTTTATTTTGTAAAGTAATTTAATTTTACTTAAAGGGTAGTATGAGACTCCCTACATGTTGTACATTTATTTTATTTTGTAAAGTAACCACCTCCACTTCACCTACTCCACCTACCACCTCCACTTTACCTACTCCATCTACCACCTACTCTTCTATATATAGGAATCATTGTAACATTCAATAGAAATCAATCAATATTATATCAATAATACAATTCTCTATTTCTCTTTATACATTCAATTTCAACAATTAACAATTATTTTGTTGAGGGAAAAGATAAGTTGAGAGAGAATCGATTGAGATGGTTTGGTCACATTCAACGGAGACCAACAGAGGCAGTAGTGAGTGTTAGGGGACGGGGTATGCCTAGATTAACGTTGTAAATAGAGATATGAATCTACTTAATTTGATTAACGAAATGGCCTTTGATAGGGCCTCGTGGAGAAGAAGAATTCATGTAACCGACCCCATTTAGGGATGGCAATTTGAAACCAGCCCGACGGGGACCCGATCCCCCGACCCCCGGGTTTTCCCCGAAAAATACCCCCGACGGGACGGGGATGGTATTCAAAAACCAATCCCCGATTAATTTTGGGCCGGGGACGGTGATAAGTGCCCAATCCCCGGCCCCGGCCCGGCCCCGCCCCGCATGTCCCCGAACTGATCTATATATATATAATATATTTTTTTATTATTTTATTTGTTTCCGTTCCGTCTCTCTAAACATTTAACCCTCTCTCATTTCTATTTTTTTGTTTCATTTCATTAATCCTCTTCTCTCTCTCTTCTTTCTCTCTTCCCTCTACTCCCTCTCTCTCTCTCTCTTCCTCTCCGTCTGAGACGCTACAGCCTACATCCGCCTACGATGACAGTCCATCTCCGACGATGCCACCTCCAACTAGGACGACGACGAGGAGCGCCACCTCTGACGACGACGAGCAGCAGAGAGATGGGAGGACGACGGGCGACGAGCAGATCAAGGCCAGATCAGATTCAGATCTGCCCTTTGAATTCAGGTTTCCTAAATTCTCCCATAAAAAATATTTAGGTGGCGACTCTGTATTTGGCAAAGCAGTCCATGTTTGGCACTACTTTTTCAAAAATCTGTTTCTCAAAACGATTTGCCAGATTTGGACTCTTTGGTTCAGATTAAGAACCGTAACACAATTTGAGAGTCCGAGCTGTAGTGACCCCACAAATGAACAGAACGGGACTCACCCTCCCAGGGCGTTCGGGGACGTCTACAATGATGTAAATATTTACAGAGTTGTTGGTATTGTTGCATGTTGATGGTTATAAAGCAATTAGAGCCCCTAATCTTGGATGGATGTCAACTCTTTTTTGGTTCAATGTGTATTCCATTATACATAATATGTACAATATTTAAAGGGTGATCAAATATGAGTGAATATGGTGTAAATATTGACATTGATGTAAATATCTACTTCAATGTCAATATTCACATTATGAATATAATGTAGATATTCAACTTTTAAGATCAATGGAATATGATGTAAATATTTACAAAGTTATTGGTATTGTTGCGTGTTAATGGTTATAAAGCAATTAGAGCCCCTAATCTTGGATGGTTGTCAACTCTCTTTTGGTTCAATGTGTATTCTGTTATACATAATCTGTACAATAT